CAACCATGTCCTTATATAATCAAGAGCAAATTTACACAAGAGCTCCATGACCTTGCTTTCAAACAAGTGCTATGAAGAACTTGAAGGAACACTTAAGTTTCTCACATTAATGGAAGCACATGTTGAGTTGGAACCTGAACTTCCAACATATAGCATGCCTGGACCATGCTAATGTAGCACGCCCGTGCTAGATGGCACACCCCAGGCCGTGCCCTCGTCTGACTTGCTGAGGAAAACAAACTACCTTGAAGCACGGCCGTGCCAAATAGCACACCCCAGACCGTGCTTGCCTCTGCCTCTCACGAGGGAACTCCTACGTTGAAGCACGCTCGTGCCAAATAGCACACCCAAGACCGTGCTTGTCTCTGCCTCTCATTAAGTTAGTTAGCTTATTTTGAGTTTTTGCTTTGTTAATGTGGCAGCGCCCTAGACCGTGCACCCCTGCCTCTCATAAAACTAGTTAGCTTATTTTGGTTTTTTGCAATGTAAATGGGTTGGCCTGTGAACCCCTCTCAAATGCCAAAATGCATGTTAGCATAATGACTAAAGGCAAGAAATGCACGTGAAGTGTGTAAGAGTCGCCACCTTGTTTTAATTATTTTAAGGGTAAACTAAGGAAAAAAAACCTAAGTGACTCCGATTTTAATTAACCTAATTATAAAACTTAATTAAACCCAGATGTTTCAAGGCATGGTCTACGAACACGAGGGTGGAATCCCGAGACTATGTTAATGCCCTGATGAACCTAAACCAAACAATGAATGCCTTTTGCAGGGTAAATTGAAATGTAATTGGAGCCCATGAAAATGTTTATGTTATTTTCGGCTTTGCCCGCTCGGGGTTAAATTCCCAACGGTTGAGTGCCTACTACTTCCCATTTGAAATGGAAGAATCAAAGTCAACGTAGTTCGATAGGCCTGTTTAAAAAGGGCTTTGAAATGTGTATGCTTTTATGCATTGAGTGTGTGTAATGCTTTGTGCATTTTTGTTGAGGCAATTTGCCAAGAATTGATTGATTTGATTTGATTAGGCGTTTGTTGCCAAAAGTGTTTGATTTAAGGCTTTTAGCCAAAAAGATTGATTTAGGCAATT